CTTAAATAACTGCGTTGGCCTGCCTGTCTAGCTTTTGCACAGTTCAGGCTTCCATCTGCAAAGAAATGAGACCAAGAGATCTGCTAACATGCAAAAAAAGATAAAAGCACTTTAAAAAATATCTTCCTGAACACAGGCCTGCTTTATAATAAACCAAAACAGTGTAGGAATTAAGATGTTGTTGAAATGCCCAAGTGTCTCTGCCCTTTTATTACGTCCAGGGCGATGATGTCATGGCTTACTGTTTAGCTTATATGGTGCAATTAAGAGATTCATTTCTTAATGTGATTCATGTCAGGAAGAGTTGACTCAGAAAAGTTTTAGAGGAGAGGCAAGATTCTCGTATGAGGAGACGTTGGGAAATTATTATTTTCTTCTGGAAGTTTAAGTTTATTTTTTATTCCAGGTGAGAATGAGGAGAACTGCAATGAGTTTGCCTCAGATTTCTGAGTAGCAGGAAATTTGATGCCAATAAGGTTAAGGAGACGGTTTTAGTTTTGGCTTTTTCCCCCTTTGGCATAATGGCAAAAAGGTGAACTAAATATTTGTTTTATTGAGATATCATTAAATCTCTGTGTGTAGACATGTTTAAATGAAGCAGTATCTCAGATATATAATAATTGTATTTATGTAATTATGATTTATATAATCTTTACATATAATTTTTTATTATAGTGTTTATCTGTTAATCCCTGATTGAATCCTTTCAAATATAGCACTTAACTCCTTACTTCTGAAAAAGAGATGATTTCCCCATTTGGTTAGGGTGGCAGTTCTCAATCACAGTCAAACTCCTCACAAGTATATGCTAATAAAAAAATGTTGAGAAGCCATGGATCAGGCCACTTCTATGAAAGATTTATAAAAGATTTATTCATAGGCCTCCATTTAGGCAGCATTTACTCAGGTTCCTTCTTTCCCTGTGTCTTCCTTGGTTATGATTCTCAGCTTAGTCTTTCACCTGTGATCAGCTTTTAGTGAAAATTCCTAATCTCTGTATGGATCAATTCAATATAACAAATATTTATGAAATGCTTATCCTGTTTAAGGCACTATGCTACGCACTCAGGACCATTTTTGGAGGGGTTAACTTCTGTCCTACAGTAGGAGATGGAAGATTCTATAATAGTAAATACATACAGGTCAGATTGGGACAAACATTGTAATTAAGGGGTAAACAAAGTGTTATATGTTGCCTGAAGAGGGAGCAATTTATTTTGCCTTGGAATCCAATGAGGCTTCCTAAAGATGGTGACATTTGAATTAGTCTTTAAATGAGAAGCAAGATTTTGAATAGATGAACCTGGAGGAAAAGTGCAAAGTTCCAGAAATGTGAAAGCCCACATTATAATGAAGGAAAGGAAAGAGATCTGTTTAGACTAGAGTATTAGCTGTGTATGAGGACAGATGGCAGGTGAGTTTCAAAATATAGAATAATTTCAGTTTATGAGGGGCCTTGAATATTATGCTAAGAAATTTGGACTTTAGTCTAAAAGAAAACAGAAAGCTAGTAAAAGCTTTTGGACTGAGATGGTATGCCATGATTATAATTGTATTTTAGAAAGGTAACTTTTAGGGATGTTAAAGATGACTTAGGATAGAGAAAAGCAAGTGGTAAGGGAACCCATTGACAGGCTGTTACAGTAATGCAGGTATAGATGATGTAATGTAGGACAGTGATGATAAAGGCAGAAATGAGAGAATAAACCAAGAGACATTCTGAATCTAGAAGTGGATGTGGTGGGGTTCACAGGAGATTCACAGATAACTCTTAAGTTTCTGTTTCAGGTGGTTGGTAAATAGAGAAACCACAAAATGAGATAAGGAACTTTAAGATAACTTTTGAAGAAGAAAGCAATGAGTGCATAAATTGACATTTGTAATATACTTTGATTATATACATCATTTCTTTTTTTTTTTGAAGAACCAGCTTGTTACAGCCATTCTTTCTGGATTCCATTATTAGAATTATACTGTAATTTGCTGTGAGCTAGGCTGACACCAAGGCACTCTAGCCCAGGCAACAGAGTGAGACTCTGTCTCAAAAAAAATAAATAAAAAGAACTTCACAGTTCATAGAATTATACCGTATTTTGCTTTAAATTTAGGAACCCTGACACTTTCTTACTCCTCAGAGGAGAAGAGAAGGTGTATCTGCTGTCTACCACTTCTGAACACATTTCTCTTTTACCATAATCTCAAAGTGTCTGTGAGGAATATCTTGAGCCTTACTCAAGGTAGATTCTTTGATCTAAATCTCCTTTCTCTGACCATACTCTCAAGTACAAGGCAGTTTGAACTTTTTACTAATGCTTATAAGATTCTCAGAGTTAGAACTGGCCTTTATAAAGGTAGAATTGGAGCCAAAATGGAGTCTTGTATCATGTACCTCCTGCCGTAGTGAAGCTGCCAGACCCCACCCCAGTGGGTGGAAGTGGACACCAGCCCTGGAGGAAGTAATGGCTGTGCATGGGCATCTTCCTCGATGAGGAAGGAAATCGTGGGCTGTCCTAGGCATTTTTCTTTTTCTCTCAACACAGGGGAACTGAAGAGTTTTGGCCTTTAGAGTTTGGATAGTGAATCTAAGGCTGGAGGGGTTTCCAGAGAGCAGACAGTTCCCATCTCTGAACTGTTGTTCCTTTCTTCCTCCACCCCTCTTCTTGTGCTGTACAATTCATTCTTCCATCTCCAGAATTTTAGTGTACAGTGTTAGTGTATCTTAATGGAGAGCCTGGAGTTCAAAGTCCCTGTATGGCCTCAAGGAAGAGAAACCTAAATGGAAGGAAGGAATTGTGCCATTGTGATTTCCTCCTGTGAGTGAAATGTAATTTGTATGAATATGCCAACTCTTGTCTAACTTATTTCTTTGTTAGATTTGCACACCATATATCCAATGGCAAGTCCTCTTGAAAGATGGTGAGAAATGTTACCAAAATTCCAAATATCTGCTTCTCATCTGATAAAGCCTTTCTGATGTTTGCTGTGTGAATTTGGTTTGCAGTTAGGATTCCCCAAATCAAATATGAATCCCATACAGCAAATTCAGCTCTGAATCTCTGGAAAATAGTGTTCAGTGGGTGGATTGATCTAACTACAGTGTGAACTTCAGGCACTGTGTGCTTTATATGAGCATTGGCAATTTATTCAAGCCATTTTGGGTCTTATTTCCCACCCAAGAAAATTGAGAACACTATACTTCCTTTTTAATTTTTTTCCTCCAATTTGTGGCTTCTCCAGTTTCAGTTCCTTTGATTATTGCAGCATCAATCGTTAAGAGAAAAACATGACTTCAAAAGAGACATGAATATGGGGAGCCTTTCCCACTGATTGTAGCCAAAAAGCATATATTAAACAACTACAGAATACCCAGGACATGGATGGGTGCTGTGTGGCACAAAAAGAAGAAACAAAGCCCTCCAGGAGCTCACTGCAAACGTATCTGAATGAGGGAAGAAAGAACTGGAGCCCAGAAGAGGAAGAACAGCTCATCACTGTCTCAGTATAAGGCTCTGATCTCTTAAAGCCCAAGGTCAGGAGAAAAGTACATTTTCAGTCCCCTCCCATCTTAGAGATGCATTCTAAGATGGAGATAGCAGGAGAGGACTAGAAATGGAGTGGCAAACTGGTTTATTCACACTAGGCTGGCTTTCATTCTCCTCAGTAGTGAGTTTGAGGCCAGCGAAGCAAAGGGCAGATTATTTTCTGGATGTGAGGGTGGGTATACGCAACTTTGAAGGCAAAAATCCTCCACTTTTTTTTTTTTTTTTGTCTTTTCAAAATTCTCCTGGGGTCCACCTCTCAAAAAGGCTGATATTCTCCAGACACCTCCATAGACACTTGTAAGTTGAGAGCTGATTCTTCTGTCAGACACATTTTCCTTGTCAAATCATGCCCGTCCCACCTCACCGACACTGATAGTCCTGGGAGCTGTTTCTGATGCCAACCTGTATTGAACTCCTAGATGTGAGTACACTTTCTTCAAGGGCTGCTTGGGCTAAAACTTGACCTTTGGGAGCTTTGGGAGGTGGGAAGGGGAGCAGAGGGAGAGAGAGATTTCCTGGTTATTGCTATAGGGAGTCTGTTTACTTGCTTTCAAGGGTCATAGCCATCCGAATGGGCTTCTCTGGCTGTGCTCTTGGGTTTGGTTTCAGAGGACCTGGGCCTGGGGAATTCCGCTCCCCATCAGCCCTCCCCTATGGTTAGGTAGGGGACTTTTATTCCACAATATGGTGCAAGCCTTCCTGAGGAACACTGCAGCTTTCTTACAAGAACAGCAATTGGAAAGGCTGTTTTAAGTGGAGTTTACTGTTGTTGTATAAACCTTCATTTAAAATTGACTATAAAGTGTTTCTGAACCTGCCAAACATGCATTAAAATATTTTGCTCCATTTATGCCTATGTGTAACATTTGGTTTCTAAAGAGCTTTAATCAGTAATCTTCAAGTAGGAAGTTATTCATCTTTATTGCCAGTCGGTTCTCAGTGGTGGTCGTGGCAACAATCTTTTTATTGCTTCTGTGTTTAGTTGTTCTTTGACATGATAGAAGTCAGCTGCAGTTCAATGAGCTCACTATTTGTGCAACTTAATTGCTTGCTTCCTTCAATACATACTCAATTTTTCCTTTTATGAGCAGGGCTGTTGGAAAAATTAAGCTTAAGGATATAGCCATCCACTGTTAATTAACCTCCTTCCCAAACACATTAGTAAAATAGGTCAAATAACTGCTGAGTGCTAAGTGTACTGTTACTAAGTTCCTCCTCAACTGAGAAGTGAATCCTGTATTTAGTGAACAAATGTTGGAGCTTTGAACATTTTCTGGAAGCAATAATGCCATAAGAATAATGCTTTGTAACTGCATTCCCTGCTGTACCAGGTCCTCGAGGTTGAATATATTGTTTGACTTTGTCTCTACCATGGATTTAGCTTGTTTCATTATATCAATGTGGAAAGAAATAAAAGACTTACTTGAGTTTTTTTTTTTCTTTTTCTTTTTGCTCTAGGCTAGTGCAAGTGTTAAAGGAAGATCCTGAATTCAGCTTTCCCTTTTAATGGTAACTGCTGCTGTTATTTTGATTCACAATTCCTAGAATAATCTGAATATTGTAAGGATGTATAAATGCTTGTGATGAGTATAAAAATATACCCAGTGAGGGAACTAATCTATCAAAATAGATTTATATAGAGCTCTTATAATTCCTCTCCATGTCAGGGTTATATTCAGATGGAAAATCACTTTAATTGCAGTGGTGAAGGGCTGGTTGGAACTTTGCCAACTTGACAGAAAATATTTTGAAGTTTATAGACTTAAAGAAAAAAAAGAAAATGTGACAGTTCCTGAATTTGGGAGAAGGCAGGAAAATGTCAGGGTCCAGTTTATACTATTAGAAAGGGGAACACAAATGCAAACAAAATTAAAATGGGAGAATGTGCCAGATAGAGCTAAACGTGGACATTTGTGAGCTGTATCCTCTATCTGCAGTTCCATGTTTAGCCCTTAATTGGGAGTGGGTAAGGAGAAAAAGGAAACCCAACTAACCCTCCAAGTAGATGCTAAACCAATAACACAAGACATTTTTTTCTTTAAAATTATTACTCAGTTATAGTCTAAATCTTGCAAATATTTGGGTAGAGAAACCACATTTCTAAAGCCATCTGTCACTACCAAATAATGTTTGGTTCAATACTCTTCCAATGTTTTTTGCCCCTCCTGGCTTGAGCACATGTTCTGCTTTGCACCTATAGTTATTGAGAAGTTTTTTGCAGCACCCATTTTCCCATGTCACTTCAGAATATCGGTGACATAGATTTGATGTTGAAATTGTAACCTTTGTGTATCTTAGTTTGCCTACCTGCTAAAGAGGGCTAATGACCCTTTGCCAGTCTAGACTCCAGGGGATTGTTAGGAAACTTGATTAGCTAATGCTTGTCAGAAGCCTTGAGGCACAAATGTTTTCCTGGTGCATTACTTTGTCCCACAGTGAAACTTGCAGAGAATGGGGGAATGACCTCATTCATATTCATTAGTTGTGGGTTCTAAAGGTTATCCTCTCTTATCTTTTGCCCAGCTAAGGCCCGAGATGCAAATGGCAGATTGTTGACACATGGAAAATAGTTGAACCATCTGAAAGGTTAAGTATGGGAGGAGGGGTGCTGCATTCACACATGCCTGTGGATGCTCTGGTGCCTGTCATCTATGTGGCTGGCCCACAGACTCCAGGTTAGGGGGTGGGAAACTATAACCATTGGTGAAGAAGGAGCTGCTATGAATCAAGTCAAGAGATTGAGTTAAAGCTTTCTTCCTATTTAACCAATTATGATGGCAAATTTCATATCTTTTGAAAGTTGAAGATACTTATCTAAGAGAGGAAAAAATAGAAGTCCAGGATTGATGAATATGAGAAAATAAAGAATTTTGGAAGTTTTTTGAGGCACTTCGTCTTGCTAATCTTTTTTTTTTCGCTTTTTTTCTTGTATTCTCATTATTGCCAACCTGCATGAAGCAAATTTGCAAGTGTTAGGGTTAACCTGGCTCATGTTGCCTTTAAAATAGCCAGAGCTTTGCCTCTAGAGAATCTGTTGGACCATGTTAAAACCCTCCATGAATTGGTATCTTGCTCCTCTCATGGATTCTTCTACTATTTTTAAAGAGTATGTTCTTGTGGCTTTTGTAGCCATTGATAGACTTTAATTAAACAAATCCAGAAAGGAGACCTGGGAGCCATGAAAATACTTCCTAAAACCAGCAGGTGGCACTGTGGATACTACAGTGGGGAAGAAACTGGGCTATAGGAGGCAAAGATGAAAGGGGAACACTGGGATAATGAGATAATATAAGCTAGTCTACAGATCTTTGGGAGGTTAACAGGGCATCTCAGAAAGCTATAAACCAATGTCTGAATGTGGATTTGCCATGGATTATCCTTATAAGAATATTTTCTCTGATTTTTAAAGTCATCTTTCCAGCTGTATCATTGGTATGTGTGTAAACTCTATATGCTTTTGCCTTGAGTTGAAAACAAATTAGAAGGGAAGATTTTTAGGGAATTTTAGAAATTAACATTTACTCACACTGTAAAACTGCAATATGTAAAATAAGAACATAAGCCTGGTGTATAGAAAATATGAAATTACATTTCGTGCTTATTGAATATCCATTAGGGAAAGAGGTTAATTCACTTCATTTTGTTATATTAAGAGATAGTAGGGACAGTTTCCTCACGTCCATTAGCTTCTGCATTCTTTGTTGTCTGTGGCTGTCTTTTCTTTAAAAATTTATTTGAAAGAGATTTCTGTAAATCAATTTTTAGAAGATAATTTTTGTGTGGGTAAATTTTTGCTTCTTGGAAGTTCATGTAATGATTATACGTTTAGGTAATCAGGTTGAATTTAGAGATGGCAAGGATTATTTACTTACTGAAGTCTTCCTGAGATAGTAGGAATTTTCCAAACTTCTAGGGTTCTCTTGTGAGGGTCGGTGCTTATCTCTTTTTCCTGAGACGTCAGAGGAGAACTTATTTTGTAGCTTAGACCAGAGGCAGAGAGAGGTTCTGAGAAGGAAATGTAATTTCTCCCAATAAATGTTTCCTAAGCTAAGGCCCCTTGGGAACACTGGCCTTTTTTACAGAAATATAGATTTCTTTCCCTGACAAATTTATGCTCTCTGGGGGGCAGATATTTGGACTCCTTTTTCTCTCTGTCTCCAGGGGTAGAAAGCAATTGTGTCCCAGTGGTGGTAGAGTCCATTGTTCCAGGGGAGGGCTGAGAGGGTTGAGAATATGTGGAAACTGCTCCAGAAATCAGTAATGGATGAATCATCACATGCTATCTGAGGGCAAGAGACTGGGGAAGAGAAATAGGAGGGCTGGATTTAGGACAAGGTGGCAGAAATGAGGATTGGAGAGTGGCAGTTCAGGGTTTTAGGGGCCAGTTTTAGTGGCCTCAATCTCTCGCCCAAGTCCAGAACTTTATATGTTACTGCCTGTGCAATCTGGTGGTAGCTGAGACAGGCAGCTGGAGGAGTTGCTGAGGGAAGATGCTGTGAGTGGTCTTTCCACGTGACTGGAAAGTTTGACCAACTGAGGAGACCTGGGAATGGAAACCAGTTTACTATATATTCAGAAACGGGGATATTTCTGATCCACCAGGGCAGGCTTCTCTCTTATTTCTTGGAACAGATTCCTCTCTTTTGAGCCTGGAGCCTGGGCAGTGCTTGAGCGGCAACAAGGAGCATAAGTTTCCTGTCACTTCCTCTTTGGCAGGTTGTGTCTGCAGACACTGGCTCCCATACCCCATAATTACTTTTTCACATTTTTTAATATAGTAACACATGGTTGGGCTTGTGGTGGGGGAACCAAGTGATGCCTCCGGGCCATGAACACTATAAATAACTTCAGGGATCATTTTATATGGTTAGGGAAGGAAGCAGCTTCTTTCTTAAGAAATAGCTCCAAGCGAAGAAGCAGGATTTAGGAACAAATAACTTTTATTTTCAAGAGCCTTTTTGCCTTTCTGTTTCTCTATAGATCAGAGATAGTATTGGTATTAATTTAATTTGTCTTCTCACCAGCCTGCCTTATTCCACTTTGTATCTTAGAGTGGTTATTGCAGCCCTGTTGTCAAATAGGAAAAAGTGCGTACATTTTCTGTATGGATGTGAAACTTTCAGCTAACAAGTCCATTCTCCAGGATTAGCTTCTGCCTCTGAACGCCCTGACATGTACGCACGTGCAGGTGTATGTGTTGATTGAAGGTGATGTTGTTGGAAGACTTCAATAAGCAATCTGAAAACAATTCCTCATACTTCTGGCAAAAATTTTAAATCATCTGAGGCAGCCCAATCTTAAAGCTTCCTCGGAATAGAAATTTAGGGTGTTTGTTGTAGAGTTTAATATTTAACAATCTTCATTGTCAAGGAGTTCTTTACCTAACCTTCTAATGTATTTTAAATTTTTGCTTATTTATTCAGTGGAAGTTGACAATAGCTGATTATGATTACCTTTCAGTAACTACCTTTTATGTTGCAATGGCTTGGTCTCTAAACTTGCACATAATTTAATAATTAACACCTAAATAAGATAAATGCTACACTTTCCATAGAGTAGTAATCTAATAGAAAAGTATATATAGCGAAAATATTCCACAAATACTTTCTAGGTTTCACTAGAGTCTATATGCTTTAGCTTAACTCATATTTGTACAAGTTTAATCCCCACAATTCTCTTCTGAAACAGAGCAGGTAGTTTGTATTATCTTTGCATTATACATAACATCTTTATATAATGTATTTACATTACAGGAAAGCAAAGACACTAGTCCAATGCAGGAGATATAAAAATGAACACAGCTGTCCTAGGCATTAAAATGCTTTGTTTTATCTTTAACAACATTAATTCACTGAAATAAAACTATTTAGGCAAATGGGGTTCATTTTACCTGTTGCGTCCTGCATAAGTAATACATAGTCAGTCTGGGACCAGGAATAAATATTGCAGTGATAGGCAAGTCGATGGAACTGGGCAAGGTGCAGTTGGGACACATGCCCAGGGGGAAGCATGAGGAATACCACAATCCATAGTTCTCCATTTTTCTGGGCCAATATTTGCCAGGCTCACAGGGCACCTGGCACTGCTCCAGGTCTCCTGTCTGACAAGCAAAGATAAATTTCTCCCTCTTACGAAAGGAAACTTATTCTACTTTTCTCCTGAAAATGTGTTCTTGGAGACAGTGGTGCTTCCCTCATCAGAGGGCTTGACCTGTAGGGCCTCTGACTGAGATGTACACCTAATGCTGTGGTGTTTGCATGACTGAGGAGTCACAAAGAAGCTACGGTTGGATTGTCATTCTCAGTAAAGGATGCTGTTTGATAATTTTATTTTAAAGATTTCTCTAGTGCTCAGAATCTGATAGAGCATATGTTTTGATGTGGTACACTGACAGCCACAATATCTGTCAGAAGGAACAATGACAGATTAAATAGCAGAGTGCTTTTCTCTCATGATGTAGCAGCACTTACAAAGGAAAAAGCGTGTATTGTTTCCTGGGCCCTGTCTCTTGAACTCATACAAGGCCCTGTTGGATTAAGAGAGCTGGCACTGGAACTGCAAGTTCTTGTTAACCATACATGCCCAAAAGGCCCTAATACAAACAATCCCTATTATAAAATAAGCCATTTACAAATAATATTTCCAGAAAATACTTGTACCTGTTTTCAGCCATGCTGTATTTTTGGAGATGGTTACATGCTTATGTTAGGGAATGGCATGTCGCCAAAGCCAGAGGTCTGCCTGCTGGAGTTTCAATAGTGCTCATTATGAAGGAGAAGAAGTTTCTATTCCTACCCCTGGAAGGAAAAAGCCACTCACAGATAAAGTGTGTGATATGATTACCGTTGCTTTAGATAACCACAAGTATTACTTCCGACATGATAAAGGATTGTTTTCTGTCTCAATTTTACAGAGCTTGGCTCAGCCTTTTTAAGAAGTGGTGGCATTTTTGTAGGCCACTTGATCAGTTTGGAACCTGTGGGAGCATGAGGTTGCCATGCAGATAAAAATCAACACTGGTTTCAGCTACCCCAGCAATTGCACTGAGAGTAGGGGAGCCTTTGAAGGAGGTTCGGAAACAGGGGAGCAGAAGGCCTTAGTGACTCTGGCAGAGTTATTTAGAGGCCTTGGGACTAAACACCAAGCATATCAGGATCTGTTAGACAGTTCGTTTCCTTGTGCTAACCTCATTAGGATTGAGCTCATCGAGAGAGCTAGAATCCTCAGCTCCACAGAAGGTGTATCAATTGGGCATATTTACTTTTAAATAGACAGGAGTGTTAGCCTTCAAAGCCTGATTTGATGGAGGGGATATGAACAAAGAAATTATAGGACTGATGAGAATTTAATAAGTTAAATTGTCAGGATGGGTCCTTAATTTCCTTTCTACAGCTGAAGTGCTTTGCTAGCATAAGTACTGTTGTTTTAGATTTCATTCGTGTTGTGGAAAAATTAGACTCAGGATAACACTCTAAGATGAGGGACATTGTAATTATCAAAAGTAAGAAATGATAGTTACTCCTTCCTGATACTTTGACAAATGGTTAATAGATAGATTATGGACTACTATGTAAAATCCAGAGGGG